TTCTTGGGGTTGCAAAGAACAGAAATAATTTTACTTAGCTACATCCAGTCATGAGGGTTCACTGTTGAGTTACACAGGGAATATGTGTGGATTCTCTTTACCTATCCACTTCCACTCATACCACACCCTAAAGCCCCAAACTGGCTGGCTGATCTTCTCCATATTTCTCAGTTCAAATTCCAGAAAGAGTCTGTTTACCAATTAATTACTGAACTCCCACTGGTCAGAGCTTTTGCTGTCAGGTCATCCTACGAGCTACTCACCTGCCTATGAACTGACTGCCCTCCAGTCAGGTGTGTACCTCTAGTCTAATCAGCAGACACCCAGTGCACAAGATACAGGTTAGGGCAACTTCCTTATCAAGGCGCTGTGGACAAAGGCAGCTTTCCTTAGAAAAGGACAGTGGTGTCTCAAGCACACGTCTATATCAAACTGCCACTAAATACTTATGTAGCAATACACCATTGATTGGAGGCAATAATCTTCATAGGCACAGGACCAGCCTCATGGGCTTATGACCTGTGCAGTTGCACAGGGTCCCTGCACTTAAAAGGGCCCACACTTCGCTTAATACGCCACTGTGGCCATCTTGGCATTCTTAATCATTTTTGAACAAGGGGCCCTACATTTTTATTTTGCGTGTGGTCTTGGAAATTATGTAGCTGTTCCTGTACAGAAGTTTTTATTACATTACTAGAGGCCCAGCACACGAAATCGTGTGCAGGTAGGGTCCCTAGGCCTAGCCTGCAATCTGGGCCATCTTCTGCCCGCTCGCCAGTCCCCAGTCCCGCCCCGCCGCCACCCACCCCAGTTCCCCATGGTTCCCCATTCACCACCCTGTGATTGGAGCCTGCGGGCCAGGGGGAGAGATCAAGAGGTGGTCAATGCATCTCATAGCGACTGGTCAAGTGGTCGTTCTGGTCATTACTCCATTATGGTTGCTGGGCTTTTATTATATGAGATAAAAAGTGAAGGGAGTTTCATAGAATCAATTTTGGATCCAAGGATTCTTCTGAGATCATTTGACAAGTACTTATTTGACAAATAAGAAAACTGAACCTGGCCGTGTGGTTCAATGGTGGAGCACTGACCCATGAACAGTTCCATTCCCAGTCAGGGCACCTGCCTGGGTTTCAGGCTCAATCCCCAGTAGGGGACGTGTAAGAGGCAGCCATTGATAATTCTCTCTCATCATTAATGTTTCTATCTCACTCTACCTCTCCCTCCCTCTCTCTGAAGTCAATAAAAATACTTTTTTTTAAGAAATAAAAACTGAGGTCAAAGAAAGAATAATTGGCGTAATCAGGATCCCACAGTGAGTCCTAGTGATGTCAGATTGGAAACATTCCTCTCACTCTGTACCCAATCTTCTCATTCCTCCATGTGGCAGGCTTCCTAGCAGGGAGGACTGCCTGACACAGGGTCTATTTTGCTAAAATATTTGATAAACTACTTAGAAATCTCATAAAATGAGGCTGATATAAAAATACAAATGGCAATCTTTCCTTATTCAATCGTATAGCCTTTTTCTGTCTATGACCTTCTCAGAACAAACTCCACTGACAATGCCCAGAATCTAAAAATGAAAGCTGGGTAGAGAAATGTAAACAAATAGAGCCTCTATGGAAGATAATTTGATAATCAATATCAAAATTATAATATTCATAGCTCTCAACCCTGCAATTCCATTTCTACATGTAGTCTCACATATACACAACTATCATTGCATGTCTAAGACTACTCATTGTGGTGTTGCTTATAATAGAAGATTGGAAACAATCTAAATATCCATCAACAAAAGTCTGATTTAAAAAATAATAATAATAAGCCTGGCCATGGTGGCTCAGTAGTTGAGCATAATCTATGAGTCAGGAGGTCACGGTTTGATTCCTGGTGAGGGCATATGCCGGGATTGTAGGTACAATCCCCAATTGTGCAAGAGGCAGCCAATCAATGATTCTCTCATCGTTGATGTTTTTCTCTCTCTTTCCCTCTCCCTTACTCTCTGAAATCAATAAAGATATATTAAAATTTTTAAAAAAAATTTAAAAAGATGATACTACATTCATGCAACAGAATATAACGTAACTCTTGGGAAAGAAGAAATTGACATGTATCTACTAATATAGAACAATTTCTAATATATTGTTTTATGAAGAAGCAAAGTATAAAACAGTATGCAGCATGCTTCTGTTTGTGGGGGGAGTTATTTAATTATATATCCTATAATCACACACACACATGCACATGTTGGGGGAATTTGGGTATGCAAAGAATTTCGAAGTATATACAAACAAACAAAAAAAGTGACTGCCTCTGAGGAAGGCACATGGAGGACTCAGGGATAAGCATGTGGGGGAGATTTTTATTATATGTCCTTTGTTCCCTTAAAATTTGTACTATGTGCACATATTATGTTTTCAAAAACTAATTAGTTACATTAAATTTGTGCCTAAAAGGGGACCTCATGACACTGACAATATTATATCACGTCTACAATAAAGAGAAACATACTGCTGCTATCATGTTTTACAAAACTTTTGCTGGGATCTTGTATTGAACTTACAGACAAAGAAAATTAAATTAGACTAAAAAAAATCCTCTCTTTCCCCTCCTCTTCTCTACATCAGAAGAAAAATTTGAAACATTTTCAAAACCTGCAAAATCCATTGCTTACTTAGTTATTGGCAAAGCTGTGTGACACAATGGAGAGACAGAAATGTTCCCACTCTTCCTTTGGAAACTCGCCGATATCATCTGCAAAGTGTCCTGCAGACATTAACCACTGATGTTTTTCCAGTGCACCTACCAGCAGTGTTCCTAAGCACTTAAACCAGAGTTTTATTTGGAACCAAAAGTACAAAAGGGTACACAAATCTCCCTACTGCCCTGGCTTAGCAGAAGTACCTTTTTCTCAGGTAACAACAGAAAAGGTGAGCTTAGGCCTCCCAGTGAAACCATTTCCCTTGGGAAAACTTTGATTCCTAGTTAGGAATGTCTTTCCCCCTCATATCCTCTTTGTGGCTCCACTCCCACACCAACTACATTTATGTAACCCCCATGTGGTAGATCAGAGATGGCCACACATTCTTTGACACAACTCTCCTTGGGAGGTGGGATCTGTTTCCATCCTCCTTGATTCTGGACTGTTCTGTGACTGCTTTGACTAATGGACTATGGCATAATTGGTGCCATGCCAATTCCAAGTCCAATCTTTAAGAGAACTGGCAGCTTCCTCCTTGTTCTCTTGAGTCCTAAACGAAGCACTATGCAAAAATCTAACTGTCCATGTGGAGAGATGCCTTAAGACCACATGGAGAGGGAAAGGGGCCCAAAGCCATTTCTGTCAAGACATCAAGCATGTGGGTGAAATCATCTTGAACCTTCAGACCATACCAGCCACCAACTGAAGAGTACCCAGTCAATGCCATGGGAAGCAGAAGAATCACCCAGCCAAGCACTGCCCAAATTCCTGACCCACAAAATTATGAAATATAATTAAAAGTTGTTGTTATCAATGTTGTTATTTTAAGACATTAAGTTTTGGGGTAGTATGTTATGCAGCAATACATAACCAAGATACCACACTATTGTTTTACTACACTTCACAGACACGGCTTTTTTATTTTTCCAATTGAAGGCAAGACCCTCCACTAGCAAAAAGATTACAACTCACGTTATTGCGGTGGCCTGGAAGCAAACCTGCAATATCTTCAAGGTATGCCAGTATTAAACACTGGCATCTTCAGATCTTTCATACTCAAAATTCAGTCTTTCCTACATTGCCTGGAATAGTGATAGAATCGTCTCATGCCAGGCAGCCGCAGCTATTAGAAGGAAAGGTCAGGTCCAAGCTGAAACAATAGAAGAATCTCTTCCCCGGAGGCTAGAGATGAGTCTACATGGCTAAGTTGAAAGTCAACCCCTGCCACCAAGTACTCCAGAAATCATAGACCACAAAGCCTGGAGTTTGCCAGCCCACACAGGTCCGCCATCCCTGGCAGTGCCCTTTGACCTGCCCCATCCCTCTAATGCTCCAGCAAACTCACAGCTAGCAACCTCACATCTACCACCTTGTGGTCATTCTTGGAGGTGGGCTGAGAACCAGACCCTCTCACTCCAGCTTTGCCCTTTCAGGGTGGGCCAACGAAAGAAAAGCTAAGTCTTGGGAGGAGAGATTCCTGGGTCAACATCCCCAGCCCATATGACTGGCAGTTGCCACCCACTCTGTCCCATGTGCCTGTTCGCACCCACACAGAGGGAGGTGTCACTATCAGAAACCAAAATTAGAGATCTCATCATATACTTTAGCTCCCTGAGAACAAATTCTTCCTTACAACATGCAAAGCTATTGTTCAATTTTCAAATGTCCAACTAACTTCCAAACATGTGACTGGGAACCCATTCGGTACAAAAGTGAGACACCGCCTCTTCTGAATTGTAGGCATGGCCTTGAAATTCAAGAAAAGGCATTTCCAGGGTTGAGGCACGAATGGGAAACTTTAACATAACGTGATGAGTCTGGCAAACACAGGGTAGCAAGGTCCAGCATGTACAGAGGTGAGCATGGGCAGAGAACCTGTGACAATGGGAAAAGAGGAGGTGCAAAGAGGGTCTTCTCCCTCCTGGTTCCTGCCTTCAAAGTGAAGTCCATTCAATGTCATTGGAGACCTCTCCCCATTGTCTATGTAGACAAATTAAAATGGCGAGTTGACCACCTGAATAATCCGTCGTGACAGATCAAAAAAAATGTGAATATAATTGGGGGGAGAAAGGTGTCAGTTTGAGGGAAAAGAAAGGAAGAAAATTTAGAATGTTTCCAATTTTTCAGTAATTTTCTCAGTCTCTCACTTCAGATCAGCTATTTAGGGACAAATGCTTTCCAGAGCATCGTTGGGTCAGGTCTACAGAGGCAGGGGAGAGAAGGGAGGAGGGTAAAGCCACGAAGGTTACCTGTCTGGTTGCTAAGACGGTCCAATTTCACTAAGAATCACACATACCTCTTCATTGTTTCTGCCGTGTTTGCCTGACCCTTTTCAATTTCTTTTTCAGTTTTCCATTGCCCTGAGGGAGTAATCTAGCCACTCAGGCTTTCTTTGCATGCAAAATGTAACAGTTCTTTCTTTCTTCTTTCAGATAAAGGCAGTCTTGGGGAGGGGAAAAGAAAAGCGCCTGGCTTCTTCAAATTAGCTCTGAAATAAAAGTCATCGCCAGATGTTATATAAAAGGTGACGTAATCCCAAAGTACTTCATTACATATGCAGCTCTGCTCTTCAGCCCAGGAGGAGTTTATTACATTTTGTCGATCCTATTTTCTATACCCACATCATTTTTACATAATTTTTTCCTGCCTGACAGACATCTTCACATTTTCACAGCAGCCCATCAAGACAGCATTACACCAGCACAGGGAAACAGGTTAGCAGTTTACAAATAATGGTGCTAATAAGCCAGATTTGTCCCTGAGATACAAATCAGGGGTAAATGGTCTATCCATGCGTGTGAGAAGCACATCTATTTTAGAATAATAGGGAAGAAAGCAGAGCACGATTCCAGCCGACACCGTGTTCTTTCAGAATCTATTCTGCAAGTAGGAAAAAGGGGGGGGGGGAGCGGAATGACGATCTCTAAACTTATTCTTGCCATTCTCTTCATTTTCCTAATAAAGTCCTGGCTTGTGGTGAGATAGGTAGCCATGCCAAATGCATTAAGGTCGGGACTTCTTGTCTTTTTGATTGGCACAAAATTTAGACGAAAACGTATCATTTGTACCAATGCAATATCTAGCTACCGAGATGCTTTAAGTGCAAACACTGCAAGACACTTCCTCCCACTCCCTTAGTGCTAAGCATCTTTCCTCCTCCTTCCCAGGCACTCGCGCCCACACTGCCCTCTGATGGTGAAAAGCAGCAGTGCAGGCTCGACGCTTCTTTCCTTAAGGGGGATGAGAGGTTGGAGAGAATGGCTGAGAGGGCATCTGCCTTAAGATCAGTGTAAGAAGCCAAGTACACTCAGCTCTTAGCTCCTAGCTGAAAATAAACCTATCTGACTCAGAATTCCAGTGGGATAAGAAAGTGCCTGTAACTCCCACCCCAAGGAAACATATCATTCATCTTAAGAACCTCCTTCAGTTTTAAGGAAAGATCCCTATTAAAATGTTAAAATTAACTTTATGGTTTTAAACTGTAACTACAAACTTGGGGTAACATAGGTTCTCATTCTTTTATATGTATGTATGTATTTTATTTATTTATTTATTTATTTATTTAGAGAGAGAGAGAGAGAGAGAGAGAGAGAGAGAAAGGAAGAAGGATAGACAGATAAAAACATCGTTGAGAGAAGAACATCATCAATTGGCTGCCTCCTGCATGGCCCTTACTGGGGATTAAGCCTGAAAATGAGGTTTAATGCCCTTGACCAGAATCGAACCCGAGACCCTTCAGTCCACAGGCCAATGCTCTGTCCACTGAACCAAACCAGGTAGGGCCGCATTCTTTTATAAGAGCAGCATTTGAATATGGGACAAAGTTAGATGTGAAAGCTTCATAGAGGATCTACTCTCCCTCCACCCCCACACACACCTAGGAAACGGATACATATCTGAGGATAACTAGCCCCCAACACAAATTTATTCTATTTCTTATTTTGTCCAAGGTCAGGACATTCCTTAGTCCTGTAAGAAATTTGATTCGTAGGTTCAAATTCTTTTCCTTTTTTTAAGTAGCATTTCTTTATATGAAGGTTACTCATGCACAGGGTGGAGTCAAATAGTTCTACAAGACTCATTCCAAAAAAACAGCCGTCCCCGCAGCCCCCACCTTCTGTTTCCTGCCCCCCAGAAACAGGTACTTTCAGCTCTCCTAACCGAATCATTTACGATTTGCCCCCATGTTTCTAAGTTATGTGTTTATGCTGCTACCTCTTCATATTTCAGTTTAATCACCTTATATTAACTGTGCACAAGGGGAGATGATTTCACACACACACGACCCCATCACTCTTACATTCAGTATAATTTTGGTAAGATAAACAATCAATATTTACAGTACTATTACCATTACATTCTCAACAAGTAGGTCATGTGGTATACCATATTTATCTTTCCTTTCTCGAACAAGTTTTGCTTTTCCCTGGAACTGAAAAAAAAAAAGTCTAAGTTTTCTATACACTTACTGAGTTTCGAAGGGCTGCCATAACAAAGTACCACAACCTAAGGGGCTTGAAACAACAGAAATGTATTGTCTCATCGTCCTGGAGGCTAGAGGCCTGAAATCAAGTTATCGGGGAGGCCATGCTCTCTGGAAGCTCCAGGGAAGTCCTCCTTTCCCCTTTCCTAGCTTCTAGTGTCTGTCGGCATTCGTTGGCATTCCTTGGCTTGTAGGCATATCTCTGCCTTGAGCTCACCTGGCTTTCCTCCCTGTGTATGTCTGTATTTTCGCACGGTATTCTCACTTTCTGTTTCTCTCTCTGTTCCCCTTCTTTTCTTGTTATCAGAACATCAGTCATCTTGGATTAAAGGCCTACTCTACTCCTGTATGACCTTACCTTAACTGACATCTTACTAACATCTGAAATACCAATGGTTAGGCCTTCGACATGTCTTTTGGGGGGCACTATTTTACCCATAACATTTATCTCCACTAATTTTTCCCCTAACTGTCCAGTTGTCTAAATCTCCTCCGAGTATATTCAAACATTTTCTGTTTCCTATCAGGCTTCATCTTCTAGTTTGGTTCACACTCAAATGGACTTTTCCTTTATGACTGGCTACAGCTACAGCTCATGTTTTTTCAGGTTCCAATGCAAAATAGTGCATGGTTCTCCTTCAACAGTCCCACTGGCTCCGTAGACTCACAAGCTAATCTCAAACCAACAGCTATAAGCAGGAGAAATGCTATGTGCATACTGGCTTAGGCCTGGGTCACATGTTCCACCCCTGGAGCTAGAAGTGGGCCAGCTTCATTTAACTACATGATCTCAGCATGGAGAAGAGGTGAAGAGTTGATGGGCACCAAAAATAAGTTAATACCCACTACAGTCTGTTAATAAGCATGTTAAGAAGAGTCATTTTTCCCCAAGCCCAGAACACGATCCATAACCACCAAGGAGGAATCATGACCACAGTGTGCCTGTGAGGGTGTTTCTAGAAGAGATGAGCATTTGAATTGGTGGACTGCATAGAGCAGATGGCACCCCCTCCCTCCCCCCCCCCCCCCCCCCCAATGCAGGGAGGCATCATCTATGCCCTTGGCAAACTCCTGGTTTTCAGGCTTTTAAATCAAATTTGGAATCTCTGACTCTTAGGTCTTCAAATTTCACTACTGGTTTTTCTGGGCCTCCAGCTTACAGATAGCAGATCATGGGATCATTCAGCCTCCATAATCACATGAGCTAATTCCTTATAATAAATCTGTGTGTGTGTGTGTGTGCGTGCGTGCGTGTGTGTGTGTGTGTGTAGTCAGAAGAAACTAGGAAAAGGAAAAGAGAAAGCCAGGAAAATAAGGACATAAAGAAAATGGAGAAAATAATATAAAATGGGAAAAGTTTAACCTTGGTATGAGGATCTACACTATAAACCAGCTGCTTCCTAAGTCACTGCTTAAAACTGTTCACTCTCTGGAGTTACCTCTCTGGGCCTCGGTGTCCCTACCGAGAGAAGTGACCCATCACCTCTCGAGTCCCTTCAGTTCTAGCAACTGTGATCTTGATTCCTCCACGGGGACTAGGGGATGGGTGCCACTCGCTCTGTTAACATCCAGGTGACAGGTGCCTACCTGGTAGGGTCCTCACCTCTGAAGGGATAACAATGAAGCAGCTCTTTGTAGGGGCTGGTTTTAAATGCTGCTTTTGCCAATAAAGTTATCTTCAGCATCCGGAAATCAGAGGAAGGATCCCCAGTGGGATTGGGCAGCTAAGTGCTAGACGTAAAGCTGCCAAACCATCAGGCCCAAGGGAGGTGCTCTAAGAAGAACATTTCCTAAAAACTCAGCAACCAAAATGACACATCTTGACATCCCATTCCCAGAACCCATCACCTCACCTCCTATGGGGTTTTATTGGTTGAAAATAAACAATGAGCTCTTGATTCCAGGTGATGTTAGCCAAAGGCGTATTTCCCAGATCGATGCCCACCAACAAATACACCAAAGCAGAGTTATAAGCTCTTTTATGTCTTATCTACCTTTCTATTCACTGTTGCCCTGCATGGGAGCTCCTGGGGTTTTATAGTGTGGTTAGTATTGAGAAATTTTGACTAGCGGTGACCTTCAACCCTGGAACATTCAAATCACCTAGGGAGGTTTGTTTTGTGTTTTTTAACATGGATATTTGGACCCCTTTCCTAAAATGTTTATTTAATTGGTCAGAGGGAGTCCAGGCATCACTCATTTTTAATCACTCCCCAGGTGCTTCTAATATGAGGCCAGGATGAGATCCACTGGGCTGAGGGAATGCAGTGCCTCCAGAGGGGTTGGAGTAGCAAGGAGTGCTTCACATACACTTGCTTTGCATTCCCAATCTTTCTAGTCGAGAATTCATAACAGAAGGGAAGTTCCACCCACAACAGCAGTAGATCCTATGTATTTTGATCTGGCTTTTCTCTTTCCCTTACAGAGCTTGCAGATGGTACAGACATTTACCAAGCAAGCAAGGGTCCTACCAATGCTACACACACACACACACACACACACACACACACACACCCCAAATTCTTCTTAAACTTGGGATTAAATCACCATATCAGAATTTACACGAATAATCTATATACCCCCATCTAGGGGAATGTATTCCAGTGCCAAACTCTTATGGTTCTACAACATACTATTCATCAGCAAAGCCACAACTTGGGTAACAGAAAAAGCAGAGTCAATGCCCATGTGTTCCTGAATATTAAACTTTCTCCAACATTCTAAAAAGCCTTTCTCTCCACAGAGTTTAAAAAGAACTATATTCATTTCTCTTCAGCATCATCCCACAGTTTGTTGTGAATTTTTAAAATACATTACCTGGCTTCTGTGGCCATCAATTTTCACTTTTTGAAATTTGGCAGTGATAATCCTCCCTATAAAATATCATATATTTAGCCCTAGCGGGCTTGGCTCAGTGGATAGAGCATCGGCCTGTGGACTGAAGGGTCCCAGGTTCGATTCCGGCCAGGGGCACATGCCTGGGTTGTGGGCTCCATCCCCAGTGTGGGGTGTGCAGGAGGCAGCCAATCAATGATTCTCTCTCATCATTGATGTTTCTATCTCTCTTCTTCGCCCTTCCTCTCTGAAATCAATAAAGAAATATATTTAAAAATATATATATATCATATATTTAGCTCTAACAATATATCAGGCACCATGTTAGGCACTATAAATATAGTATCTCTAATCCACAGGACAACCCTGCAAAACAAGCACTATTTTTCCAAGTTCACAGATGAGAGGCCTCATAGCTAGTAACTGTTTGAGCTAGGATCCAAATTCAGGTCTGCCTGGCTCCAAAAATAATAATCTTTGCACAACACTCTACTGCTTGGAAGGTCAGTAACTGTAACAAAACAATAAAAGTAGATATTTATATAGCAAAGAGCAGAATTACCCTAATGTTCTCTCCTAACTCCCTGAACTGTAGAAAGGCATCCTTAAGTCCTAGCTTTCACATCCTTAATTAACTACATTAAAGAAAAATCTTTAGAGCTTCAACTCCTATGAGAATGAAAATACTTCCTGATCAACTTGTGTGATGTGTTATAAGGTCATTTCTAAACCATGAATAATCAGATCCTAGTATAGGTGTTTAAACAGTAAGGCTGGTAGAATGGGAACCAGAAGGCCTAAGAAGATGGACATCGTTTTGAGTCAACTTTCCTATATATCATACAGCAGTGCTAACTACAGTCATCATTACATCCCCAGTACTTATTTATCTTATAACTGGAAGTTGGTACATTTCAACCACATTCCTCCAATTTCCCCTCTCCCATCTTCTGCCTCTGATAATCACAATTCTGATCTCTTTTCCTATGAGTTTTTTCCAGATTCCACATATAAGTGAGATGATACAGTATTTGTCTTTCTCTGTCTGACATATTTCACTTAGTCGCAAATGGTAGGATTTCCTCATTATTTATCGCTGAGAAATACATATACATATATATATATAATAAAGAGATAACTTGCAAATTAACCCTCATGCCCTCACAAGATGGCTGCCTACGACCAGGCCAGCAGGGGGGTTAGTGAGAGACGACCAAACGACTGTACAAGCAGGCTGTGTGGGGCAACCAGGCCGGCAGTGGGGGCAGTTGGGGGCAACCAACCCAGCAGGGGGGGGCAGTTAGGGGTGGCCAGGCCAGCAGAGGTGGGCAGTTGGGGGCGACTAGGCCAGCGGGGTGGGGGGGGGGGGGATTTAGGGACAATCAGGCAGGCAGGCAGGTGAACAATTAGGAGCCAGCAGTCCAGGATTGTGAGAGGGATGACCAACTGCCGGTTTAGGCCCGATCCCCAGGATTGGCAGTCAGACATCCCCTGAGGGATCCTGGATTGGAGAGGGTGCAGGCTGGGCTGAGGGGACCCCCTGACCCCGTGCACAAATTTTGTGCACTGGGCCTCTAGTATATATATAAATAATATATACACCACAACTGTTTTTTTATCCATTCATCCATCAGTAGACACTTAGGTTCTTAGGTTGTTTCCATGTCTTTCTCTTAAGGAGCCTGACCTGCATAAGAACTTGCTTGCCTTGTTAGAAAGTTTTTCCTAGTTGGGAGCATGCAGGAAGCAGCTGATCATCAATGTTTCTATCTCTCTATCTCGTACTCCCTCTCTAAAATCAATAAAACTGCCGGGGTCCAACCCCAGCGGGTCCAGGGGTCCCCAAAGGTGTGGACGGAGTCGGCGAAGAAGGAATGACATGGATACAGCGTTCAGTTGATCATCATAGCCGGGTTCTCTTGTCAGGATCTCCTGCCAAGTTCTGGTCTGGATCTCCAGAGAGGTTCTGCTTAGGATCTCCAGCCAGGTTCTGTGTCCTTGTTCTCTTGCTAGGCTCTCCAGGTTCTCCAGTCAGGTTCTGTAGCCATGTTCCCTCGCTAGGTTCTCCAGCCAGGTTCTGTCCAGGTTCTCCAGCCAGGTTCAGTCACTAGGTTCT